GCATGGAGTGTGGACGATGGGGGAGTGGGATGGAGTCATTTCTGGGGGCAGAATTTCGGGCTGTGGGGTCCCTCCGTGTCCACAATCGACGAAGGGAGGCGAGACGAAGGGTGGCGGTGCAGCGGATGCACGGCCGTCTTGCCCGCGACCCTTCGCCTTTTGTCTCGCCCCCCGCGATGACCCTGCGCTTTTCGTATCGTTTGGTGGAGCATGGAAATGACTTTGGACTGGCCTTCCCACTGCTCCTTCGTTGCCGTCCACCCCACGTGACACGTGTTTATAAGGACGCAGGCGTTCTTCGCAAATGCACGAAAGCACTCTCTCTCTCTCCCTTACGCAGTCCCCACCGCCCGCCGCGCTTGTTCCGTCGTCGTCGCAGTCGTCTTCACCGCGTGAGTCGCCTTCGTAGCCTTCATCAGCGCCTTCGTCGCCATCATCGCCATCGTCGCTTTTTGTTGAACGTCGTCGCCGTCATCGTCATCGTCACCGCGTCCGTCGCCAACGTAGCCATCTTCACTGCTTGCGTCGTCTTGGCAGTCGTCTTCGGCAAAATCGTCGCCGGCGTGCACATCATCTCGCCTGTCGTCTTCACCGCCTTCGTCGCCTTTCCGAACATCGTCGCCTTCGTCGTCGGGATTGTCATCGTCACCGCGGACGTCGCCAGCATCCCATACCAAGCGATCATCGCCATCGTCATCGCTGTTGCGGCCGTTGTCGAATACGTTGCCAACACCGCCATCGCAGTTGACAGTTGGCTTCGATAGCGCAGGGCACGTCATCGAAGCGAAGCGGGCGAACAAGGTTGTCGTGGGTGTGTCTTGCGCCATGTCGTCCCGCGGTTCCGGACGCGGCAAGGCCGCCGCCAACCTCCCACAACAACCGTCGATCCGGGAGAAGAAGGGCCGCCACATGGCCAGCAAGAAGAGGAAGATCCTCAAAGGTGGCCCGGCACATGGAAGTTACGTGGTGGATGAAGAGTGGGTGCCGGAGGAGGTGGCGACGCAATAGGGGACGAACTTCGACGAGTCTGACGACATGCCGTTGCAGCGGAAGTCGTCCAGGCGGGGGAGTGGAGGCCTCCGCATAGACGACGCTGGCGACAGACGACACGCAGGAGAGCGGGCAGTACCGAAAGACGTCCTCGACGTCGACGCCACGACGACAGCTAGAGAGGGCGGGGGAAATGCTGTCCCAGCGCACAATCGCGCGCCACTGCCATGTACGACTGCAGCCCACGACGCGCAAGAGGGTGTGGTCCGCTCACGGACACCGCTCACACCACGCTCAAGGACGGCTGCAGACGTGGCCGTCTCAGGGGGGGGCATCACAAGCGGCGGGAGGGGTGAGGGTAGGCGGGGCAGCGGTGGGGGGGGGATTGCACACGGCGGAAGTGGCGAGGGCAGGCGGGGCAGCGGTGGGGGGGGGGGTGTCTCTTATACACATCTAGATGTGTATAAGAGGGTGTAATAAAGGTGTTATCTTTAATGCCGTTCATTTTCGGAATGCTTGTGTTCAATTAAAATCGTCTCCCTCTTTCTCTCCAACATGTGTTTTGGTGTCTTCTCCTGAAATGAAATGCAATGGTGCCATGAAGGTGTTGTCTGTAATGCCGTCCATTTTTGGTATGCATTTGCTAATATTGTGCATACACTCAATTTGTCGTCG